GAAAGAAAGAAAGAAAGAAAGAAAGAAAGAAAGAAAGAAAGAAAGAAGAAAAAAGAAAAAGAAAGAAAGAAAGAAAAAGAAATGGAGGGAGAAAGAAAAGGAAAGAAGAAAGAGGGAGAGAGAAAAAGAAAAAGGAAGGAAGGAAAAAAAGACAGAAAAGAAAATAAACAATCAGGTAGGCAGGCGAGCAGACAGGCAGATTAAATATGAGCTCTGGATTAAAACTCTACTTACCAACATCTCATTAAGTACAACCCTCAATTTGATGTGACACTGTTGTACTAATATATTGCTCCTCTTCTGCTTTCTATAATTAGTAGGGAGTAACAACATACAGCAAGATGAAGCCACTTCCAATCTTCAGGTAGATATTATAAGGAAGAGCTTATAGTATAACATAAAATAAAGCTTATAATATATAGAAGTTTGAAACATCTGACAATTCTGACCCAGTTTTTATATTAGAACTGCCATAATACCTCTCTTTCTAGTTGTCTCAGATATTTACATTTAGGAGCCCTTTTCTAATCTGAATTCAGTTTTCCAAATCTGTACCTTTCCTTTGCTTCCTGTTTTGAATATTGATTGGTTTATGAATATTGTGCTATATATTCTACTTCTACACCTAAGGGGTTATAGATTCAGGGCAAAGAGATGCAACATTCATTTTAGCAGCTAAAGAGACAACTTAAAAACAAAATTTTCAGTACTCTTAAAGACTAACAAATGCGCTTTAGTATGAATTTTGTGAACTGGACCTCCTTCCTACATTTAGGCTTACCATGTTTTACATCCTCATAAATGTTTAGACTTTAATTTATACAAGATTCACAATTGTGTTTGGTGCCATAAACAGAACCAGCAGCCAGGACTTTAGGAGCTGAGTCCAGTTATTCCCCTCTCTTCATCCCTTGCTGGGGAACTGGCCCTTCCAAATTTATTTCAACCAGAAAGTAAGCAGTTTGTTTGCAGATGCCTTTTCTGATCTCAAAGAAAGGGAAGTCTGTCAATCACTGCTTGTCTTTCAGAGGGGTGGGCTTCAAAAATTTTAGCAACAGGTTCTTTGCCCGGTTGCTGGGTGGGTGTGGCCATGGTGGGCATGGCCCAGTCGGCCCCTTGCCCCCTGGGGGGGGGGGGGCGTTTTTGCTCTCCCTGGGCTCCGGAGGCTTTCCTCGAGCCTCCGGGAGAGCGGAAAACGGCCTCCCCATGCTCCGGAGGATCTCTGGAAACGGGCCTTCCCAAACTTCTGGGAGGCCTGTTTTTTGTCCTCCCCGAGCCTCTGTGCACTTACCTGCATCCAAAACGGGCCATGTGGGAACTCCTGGGAGGGTCCAGCCAGGATTTGGGGGTTCTTTGAATTGTGCAGAATCTTAGCTAGAAGATCTCCCGAACCTCTGCAAACCCCCAGCAGCCCACCCCTGGTCTTTCAACAGTGGTTTATTTATTTATTTAGCGTATGGCAGGTGTTCGCCAGGAATCACCGAGGTGGCTGGCTGCCTCTATGAAAGGAATTTTGGGGGGCAGTGTTATCTTTACCCGCAGGACTCCTGAATACCAGTAGGCATTCAGGGGAGACTCCTTTCTTGTCCGTGCGCAGTTTATTCGCTCACAGGAATCGAACCACTGAGCTGCCGACTTCAGCGGTGCATAAGCCCAGCGTCTTACCACGTGAGCCACCTCAGCCCCCTCAACAGTGCTTTTTCTACCCCATAACTCTGACTGCCTACAGGGATTGCATGACCTTTTTCCTTCCTACCCTCACAGAATTACATAATTCTAATAAGGGCAAACGGAATTGGATGTGCCAGAAACATTCTGTACTTACTAACTCTGTGCACACCTCAAAGATGTTTCAGAGAAAGTGCTTCAGACATCCCATGGGGCCAGCATTTCTCTGCTTTCTTTATAACATAATTACTTTGTCAGGTGGTATGTATGAGCTTAAAAAAAGATGATGATGCTTTAAGAAGTCCACTCTGAATGTGACTCTTAAAATAACAGCATCTTTTTCGCAGAACCCTGAAAAGGCAACCCTGAGTTGCTTTAATGCAGAGGTCTCCAAACTTGGCAACTTTAAGACTTGTGGACTTAGTCCACAAGTCTTAAAGTTGCCAAGTTTGGGGACCCCTGCCTTAATGAATAGTAGAGGAAAAACTGATCATGTGAGGTCCAAACTGTTCCAAGCAATTTGGGAAGAAGGTATAGTCCATATTTAGCACCCACAACATGCACATTTCAGTTCTATTACAGAAAGAAATATTCTTACTTTTTGTTTTCAGAACGTGGGTTGATTTCAAGTTGGTAGATCAAACAGTTTGTGGCAAAATAACCTAGTGAGGTGGGACTTGGGGGGGGGGGGAGAGAAATGACAGAACATGCTATTGCTGTAATGTCCTACAAGTACCGTGATTTACATACTCCCATCAAATGTCAGGATAGACATTTGCTTAATAGAGGATAGGATAGAATAGTATTTGCATAATAGTGTTACTATATGTATGTCATTTGGTCTCATCTTGGTGTGCTGTGCATGCCACTGTCCACAATCGGTACAATTTCCTCTTGGATGAAAAACGTTCCATTGAATTTAAAATCAAGAGGACTTAGTTCCAATTAATATTGAATATGTAATTAATCTATTCCCAAATGGTATAGGATTACACAATGACAACAGTAATATAAATTTGAAGTCTTTATATTGTTACAACACTGTTTGTACAGTGTCTTCAGGTGTCTTACAGATTGTTTATCACTAGCGAACACGACCTATTGAGCAAAAGAAGATTATATTTAAATAATAATTATTTGTATTGTGTAGTATTTGTTCTCAACTTCCTGCCTCAAAGGGGCGGACAAAAAAGGCAGAAGTAGCAGAAATGGCCTGTATTTTCCTGATTGATGTCATAATGGACTTCTCTTTACCCATTTTTAAAAGTGTGTTTTAAATAACGTAGGCTTATTGACTAACAAAAGGCTTCCAGCATTTTGCTTTGAAGGGCCTACATCAGAGGCAGCATGAAAGCAGATCATGTAAATCTTTAGTATGAGTAATATTAGCAGATGTCCTGGGTTTACAAAACTAATACGCTCTCAACCAATTACAGATATATCATTAAAAAGTATTATATAATTATAAGCATGGATTTTGTTTTCAAGCCTTGTAATCCAGAACTGTTTCTCAGTAAAAACAGTGTTCCAGATTCAGGCTTCTGTTCATCCCATTACCATAGAATTTGCCCAGTGGATTGATATTACACACACCAAACAATTTACCTCCTTGGCTACGTGAGTAGCTTAACATGGAGCCCAGATGCCTCCCAGCTGGATAAAAAGAGCTTGTGGGCAGCAGAGGATGGATGCAGGGATGCCTGTAAAAGGGTTACAGATGCAGATTTATTATCAGAAATGTTTCTATTGTGGATACAGATATTTTGGCAGAAGGGCAAGGGGCAGTCAATTCCTTGGACTCCCACATCCAGAATGATATAAACCAGGGGTGTCAAACTCACGGCCTGTGGGCTGGATGCATCATGCGCTGGCCACACCAACCCCTCTGGTTTAAGGAAAAAAGTAACGATACATCACGTGATAACAACATGATGCCACGAGTTTGATACCCCTGATATAGACATTTTTTTAAAAAAAACTAAACCTCAGAAATATAAAAAGGGAAATCTGCCTTCTGAGGTCAACCTGGTTTGGCACTATATAAACCCATAGCTGAAGTAACATTAAGTGATTTTTGCCTAGTAATTCTAAAATACTAATTATAATAATAAATGTTTGTGTGTTTTCTTTCCTTATCAGCTTAGTAGTGTTTATTTTTCGGATGAATAATTTTTGTTTTCTAATTTCCTGTTCTAACTCGGTTTTGTTGGCCTTTCTAGCTGTTTGCCGGTTCCCATGTCAAAATGGTGGCGTTTGTGAGAGGCCAAATGTTTGTTCCTGTCTTGAGGGTTGGATGGGGCGCCTCTGTGAAGAGCGTACGTATCTCTCATTTAATAATATTATATTTATTTTCATAATTGTTCTCCTGAGGTACACTTTTACAGCTTCTTATAATTCTGATATACTGGGTTAAGGAAAGTTTTTTTTCTACACATTTGGGATTCTTGACCCTGGTTTTTCTTTAAAAATAGATAGACGCCATGCTAGTGGTGTGGCAAATTATTCAATAAAAGTTATTTTGGTTATTAAGATCAATAGAAACTTGATTCTGCTTACTTTGTATACAATGAGATCGTTTTAAGATTTGCATTTATAAATGTGCCTGTGATTGGAATGCCAACAATCTCAAGAAAGAATCAGTAATTATTAACTACTATTTTGTAGGTGTAAGTTTCATTGAACTGATTATATTTACTCTAGTTGTTCAGACTCTGTAGGCTGCTACTCTGGGGCGTTTGCTGAGTATTAACTCTTTTGATGCAAAAAGAGTTTTGATGCAAAAGCAAGGAATCTCTAAGATGCATCTGAAGCAATGATGAAAACTACTGATGGATCCAGGCAGAGAATTTAAGACAGCAGTCACCAACTGGTGGGCCACAGCCTACTGGTGGGCCGTGAGAAAATTTTGGTGGGCTTATTGAGCCTGTGGGGCCACAAGTTTGATACCCCTGATCTAGATCATACAAATTTTAGAGAAGACTGCTTTTCAATCAATGTGGTCAGGAACATCTTGTTATCTAATTTTTAAATTTTGTATGCTCCAAAGTGACAGCTTATTGATGAGTAATCTGAAAAGTAGAACTTGATTGAACGGTTTATGAAAGTAGTCACTGTGATATAGAAAAGCTAAGATTTATTTATAAACTTGGTATCTATTATACCAGGCTGTACTTTCTTTCTCACCCACACAAAAACCTCTAATTTATCATTTACAGAATCAGGATGTATTTTGAGTTTCATTTTGAAAGGTGTTACTTTAAAAATAGAATGAAGAAGAAATACATTGTTAAACAGAAATTCTAATAAAAATGTGAAGATTTATGCTTTGAATACTAAGTTTCTGTGAGTGTGATTTACTAAATGAATATTTCATTGACAAAAGCAAAGAGCCTTTTTTCTTAATTTATTTTTCTTTGGTGCCACTTGTACCTAAAATCTATTCTGAAGGGATTAGAAATTTCAAGAATTTTATGAAATTAAGAAGACTTATGGCACACTAACAGTCACTCCTTAATAATTAGAAGATAGATTATTCAAGTTTGAAGAAATCAGTCTGTTTGAACTGCAAATTGTGAATGTTTTATAAACTTAGAATGATGAAGATTACAGTAAATGCTATGAATGATAATTATGGAAATTATTGTAGTATCGCAAAGACCAACCAATTTATTATTTGTGATAATAAATGGATCAACTTTTCGGATGCTAGGAGGCTCTGTGATATTTTTAATGAAGACCAACATGGCTAAGCCTTTGGAAGATGATTTGGATTGGGGGGGATAATTGTTCTAGTTTTGTGAGAAATAGAACCAGCGTTCTATTTGAATGAAACCTTTTTCTTCTTCCCATTCCGCCTCCCTTTTTTTTCCCTTCAGCCATCTGCATCTTGCATTGTCTGAATGGAGGTCGATGCGTGGCCCCTTACCAATGTGATTGCCCAACTGGATGGACTGGCTCACGCTGCCATCAGGGTAAGCACATTTAATTCAGAATTTCCTACAACCTCCCAATAGCACTTTAGTGCAAAGTGTAAATGCAGCTTAAATGCAGTTCTGGGGAAAAACACAGTAAAAAACAGCCAGTACAAATAATCCTCATTTAGTGATGTTTGCAGTTACAAAAATTGGAGGGGGGGAACCCTTTGCAAGCACTCCTCAATTTAAGACCTTTGTAGGCTTGTCAATCAAAGGAAAACTGAAGTAAGATCAAAAGCACAGTTGTAATTTCACTTAGTGACAGTGGTGGGATTCAAATGACGATTCACTTAGTCCTAATTGTGGTATCTGAATGAGGACTACCTGTATATCTTTACATGTCTGGTCTGGAAATTTATGTTTTTGCTACCTTCGTATTATTTGGAAGTTTGGAATTATGATATATTGCTGTGGTTTTCAAGCATTACATGTTTTAAGGCAGACAATACTTTGAAATCAGTGGTTTAAGAGAAAGGTTTAAACCTTTCTCTTAATAAGCTCTCTGGTACAAAATGTTATTATTTTTACAAACCACAAATCACTCACAGAGACATCTCCCTAGCCAAATAGGTCAAGTAATATACATTTTTTTATGCAGGAGCTATTCAGAAATACTTTTTCAGTTCTAACTAATTGAACAGAAAAAGACACTTAATTGTACAATGGGGTCATGTAGACACCATTTTACTGCATGTGTAACTTTTTCTATTTCTAAAGCCAAATAATACTGTCTGTCAGAAAATTTCCATGTGTAGCCACAATATTTATTTTGCATCCATATTTGAAAGGACATAAGTGTTTTCATTTTTGCTTCTCTGAGATATTTGAAAGGCAAATACAAGGGATTTTAAAATGGAAAGTTATGAAGAATTAGAATCTTTAAAAAATACATAGCTAAATTCAATTTCTGCAAAGGTAATTTTGTTCAACAAAAACAGTATGACTTATTTTTCTATTTTTTCTTAACATACTCCATATTCTTCAGCTTGATTTGCATATGAAAACTTGTCTGTACTCTGTTCATCTTGTATACCTTCCTTCAAATGAATTGCTTAAGTATCTTATGTACTATACAGTATCTAGCAGTGCCTTTTGCTATTTTGGCTCATTAGGTGAACACACAGCTATGCTATTTCAATATTACTAGGTACCATTTATATAAAGAGTAAAAATGCAATCCCAAATGTTGGAGTATACCCTAATTTGTGCTAAGTGGTAATGCCTCTCTATGATCTTCCAATGCAGCTGTTTGTCACTCTCCATGCTTAAATGGTGGGAAATGTATACGACCAAACCGATGCCATTGTACTTCACCATGGACTGGACATGACTGCTCTAGGTATTCTTGCCATTTTCTTGTGAGATGTGTAACCTACCAGGATTTTTTATTATTATTATTCACATTTTTGGTCTCTTTCAATCTGTCTTACAGGCCAGCTTGCAATTTCCTACTTTAAACATTCATCCCAGAGAATTAGCTAGCAGTAGAACATGGGAGACCTGACTGTTTATAAGAGAATCTGTTGGCTTGAAAAAAGCCTTGAAACCAAGATGCAGAGTAGTCTAATTCAAGATATTTTCCTGAAGTGTTGGCGGTACCTCATTTCAACACATATTAATTCCAAAAATGAGTCCATTCTAGACTCACTCCAGTTTACTTTTACAATTTATCCATGGTATTAATTAGTTTACAATTTACCCATGATATCAATTCCAAAAATTAGTCCATGCTAGTCCCATGCCAATTTATATATACTTTATAATATATTCAACTAAAGCAGAACCTCTGCTCCATTCAGTATTCACTTTGAACAGAACATCTGTTGGAACTAATGGAGAATGTACTGAGCTGCCACTTGATAGGAAAAGATTTTCTGTTAAAATAAGGAACTGCGTTCAAAGCTCCTATTTCTGTCTACGGAGAGTTTCAATCATCCAGGTCATGGTTGACCCAAAGGTACTTTTCCAAAAGGCAACTGGACTTTCTTGGGGTTTTTTCCTTGAAAACGTTTTGCTTCTCATCCAGTGAGCTTCTTCAGCTGTCAGTGTCAGGATTCCAGCAATTGCCCTTATTAAATCATGAGCCTTGAGCCAAACTTCAAAAACTTCAAAGAATTCATTAGGGGTGACATACTGCCATGACCTGTGTGAAGCCAATTCTGGCATACATAATTACAGTCATCTGTGACCCTGCTTCCCCCCTCCCCCCTGGGTGTACCATAAATCAGTTTCTCCAAATAAGCACGGACAGGGGCTAGGTGTCATTCATCATGTTCTCCAATTAAAGTTTTTCAGGGCAAAAGCTTCAGGAGCTTAGCTACAATCTTTTTAAAGATAAAGTTGGAATGTGCTTCTAAGTTCATTTGCCATATGCTTCTCCAATCCTTCCCTCCACCCCTTTTCCTTATGCCAACATGGAAACAAGTGTAGGAATGCTTTACAAGTTGACAGTTTAGTTCATTTCTTCAGAATTGAAGAAGTTTCTTGGATGAGAAACAAAACATTTTCAAGGGAAAAAAAACCAAAGTCTAGTTGCCTTTTGGAAAAGCACCTTTGAGAGCTCCTGTTTCTGTCTGGGTTTCTTCACACAGGTTGTGGTATATGTGCAAAGGCCTGGTTTCAGATGTATACGGACCTTGCCATGTTACAGTAAAATCCCCCTTATGCAACCAAAACAGATTTCTCTTTGCATTTCATAATCTGCCAAGAATAATGGATTCTTTCTTGTCTTCTAACCTAGGAAACGGAAATCTGGATTCCACCACTTTTAATTTAAGAGCAAAAATTATGAAGACTCTAATTCCAATCCAATGGACTTTGGTACTACAGTCAAATCAAATATAGTGGATTTTTTTAAAAGCTGTTTTGAATTTATTATTATTATATTTTTCTTAAACATTTAATTTTGAATGGAAACATCTGTATGGGTTTTTTTTTCTCTTGCAGAAAGATACATGCTAAAAATGTTGCTGCTGTCAAACACACAAATGTACAAATTTTGTTCACTGAAAGAGAAAAACTTACAGTCTTTCATATTATGGGTGCAAAACTCTTGCGTCTAAGTTGTATTCGATGACTAAAAAAAGATGCTTGCGCTGGGCATGAAACTTAATTAAAGTCATATTTCCTTTCTCCCTCCCACCTCATGTAAGTGATGTAACGTAAGTGAAAATGCAAGTGAATGCATTAATCCAAGAACTATGATATCTCGAGTCTTAAATCAAACCTTCTTACACTTGTCTCTTCTCTGTTATTGGACCCACTATTGAAAGCACTTCAGAAATAGAGAGAGGAAAAATAAGACATAGAAAAGGGGGAATTCAGTCTCTCCATCGTGATCTTTTTATATCCAACATACCTGATAACCTTTATAAGTAAATGAGATAAATAATAAACGATTGCCCTGTTCGATCTGGTTTTGGTCTAAGATACCTCCTGCAATCCACTTGTCTATTTCATTATAGTAGTTGCAAGATGGACAATATTTAGTTACTGTTGTTTGATGGAACAAATTTGAATCTGGAGCTTCAAGCATTCCAAATGGTTTGAAGTTGGTAAATAAAAATATTCTTTTTTCAAAATAAATGTGAATATATGAAGGCCACCAACTCCACCATTCATGCTAAGAAAATACTTGGGTATTTTTCCATGGCATGGAAGACTGTTGCTTAACGAGGAGCTCCCAATATGGAATGCTTTCAGATTTGATAAGAATACTAATAAATCAGAGACCCAGTCCATGTTTTCTTCTGTATAGGCCAGTGAGTGCGTCTCTGTGAAGGAGAAAGAATGGGCAGAGGAGGAGATACGTCAGTAGAGACTCAACCGCCTACAAAAATATGTTGCTGGCTGCTAAAATCAAGCCTGTTTACTGGGAAAGTACTTGTTATTTTATCATGGATAAATATTTAAAATATACGTGGATTTGGTGAATGATTAGCACTTAGCTCAAAATAAGTAAAAGTGTAGTTGTCTTTCCCATGAAAAAAAGTGAAAATTGGATTTCATGTTTTTGATATTATTTGCCAAATTTCCATTAAAATTAAGAAGTAGTTGTTCCTTATCCTGGATTTAAAATATAAGATGTTTTTAAAATAACATTCCTCAACGTATTTCTTTATCAGGAAAAGAATTGCTGAGTCCCAATTGAAAAGGCAGCATGGTATCTAGAGTAATAAAAAAGGCTGTGGTTAAATACTGTAATAATTTATATCCAGAGACATCCACCAGAATAATTTAGTTGCTGCTAAGGTGAAAAGTAGGAAGGAGAACTAATGTGTTTGTTCCTTACTGCATTACTTTACATATATACATACATATATTACAATAGATGCATCTATATTAGTCCTTTTTTTCACAAATGGAATCTTATATTTTCAAAGCAATTCTCTTTAATCTTTCAATTATAATAATTTTATTTTGGGCTTCAGATCAGGTTGAAAGTTACTCTTTCCGTAAGCGAAAACTGAAGGGTGGGCATAACATTAAATGTGTATATGGGAATAGCAGGACTAATTTTCTGTGGAGGAAAGTTTCCTGATAGGTTTGATGATGACAGTGTCTGAAATAATTGAAAAGAGAATGCCTTTTTCCTCATTTTTTTCTCCCCTGCATCATTTGCTATATTGCACTTGCTGGTTTCTTTTTATTTAGCATAGAGGTCTCTTGCTGATAGAGACAAGACACTCCGAATTAGCAATCTACCTCCAAGGGTTGCGCCAACATACATTTTTCTTCACAACAGCGTGGAGATGGTGTGCAATTGCCTTCTGGGGTTTTGTTAGAGAGACTTGAAATTTTTAAATGTTCTCCCATCCAAATACTAACCAGGCCCAACTTTGCTTGGCTTAAGAACCCACAGTGTAACAACTAGGTGCTACAGTACACAATGCAAAAATAAATATTATGAACATATTAAAGCAAAGCATACGTAGCCTTCAGTGAAAGACACATGCCAGATACTCTGGGGCTTTGTGGTTTGAATGATATGGGTAGAAACAGTCATTTGTACATACTGAGTTTTTGGGAGCCACAATCCATGCTTAAATTGTTCAGATTGCACGCTTCTATTATTTCAAAAAACTACAAACTGAAACATCTGCAGATCTTTACAGATGAGGAAAAACATGATTAATTCATATCTGTAGTATACTACATATATTTATAAATACCATGTCATCCTATTATAATTTGTTCTGTGGACAGAGGCTAGCCCAGTGTGTAGATTCTACACTGTAATTCCACTTCCAGTTTATTGAGGAAGCTACATTACAGTATAGAAATGAGTAATTGTAGCTTGTGTGGTCACACTATTTATCCATGACTTTCCCTTCTGGGGCATGCTTGCATATGCTTATAATTTTACACTCAAGTTCTTGCATAGGATTTTTAGTCATTTAGAAGGAATAAGCAGACCTAATTTTTTTTCTCCTAAGCATTTTCCAAATTAAAAAGAAAATTGAAATATATGTTCAGTTTTAACCAGGAAGCAAAACCTCTGAGAGACAGCAATTTGCTTGTTAGCACAACAGCAGTTAGTAAATAAACCCATCTATATCTTCTCTAATAAGAAATTGGGTTGGTTTTTTCCCCCACTCATTCTAAGGGCATCTGTTACTAAAACTGAAATATATTCTATCTTATTCAAGCTCTTCCAGAAAATATAGCAATAACATTTTCAGTGGCTGGCTTACCTTCCTAATGATCTTTAAGAGGCTTCCAAATATACATTACTTTTTAATATATGCAGCCCATTCCAAGAAATCCACTTCACCAGGCCTACTCCCCCGGGTGGGAGGGCAGATCCTGAGTTAAGTATGTCTTAAGATTTCAGCTCTAAGACAATCTTCATAAAATGGGGAAAGAACTCTAAAATAAATTAACCGTCCTTGTGGTACCTTTTCCTTTGCAAGATTCCTCCTTTCCCTATTTATTCACACACACTGTGTATGAATGGCTGTACTTTGAACCAAAATGTTTGTCTGGCAAATGATAGAAGATGACATACAATAATGAAACAAGAATGTTTATTTTTAGTACTAGCAGTTTATACATTTTCCCATTTATTTGGATTAATATAGAAGGTGTAAAATCTGACCTAAAAAGGATGCACAAGATGTAGGTCTGCTGGCAGGAAGTGCGATGCCTGAAAGGAAAAAGCCAGGGAGTCAAAATTAGGCTGTTCTTATTATTACATCCATAGAAAAATCATCATTGCTTTTTTTTAAACTATGGTTTAAACCCATAAAATATATTGTAATTTATGTTACCACCTGTCTTGTGTTTCAAACAATTTCTATGTGATGCACTTTACATTGTAAATAAAGTTGCACCCCATTTAGTACCTGTAATCTAATTTGTGTTTCTTCTTTCTGCTACTGGGATAAAAAGCTTATTTGGTAGCATGAGAGAAAGTGTTGAACCTTTCTAATCCTTCCCCTTAGTTACTGCTGCAGCTAGTAGAGCTGAATAAAGCTTCACATGAGTGCTTTGAAGCAACCTTCAAAGAGTAAGAGCTGGGTGCCGATGGAGTAAGAAGTCCATAGCTGTACCCAAAATAATCTATGCAGTCTGCCCCTCTTTCACAAAAGAGACAAACTTCTCCTATTTACACTAGGAGAATCCAAGAAAGAGAATGAAAAACCTTTCTGTCTGAATTTGCCCATAACATATATGTTACTCATTTGAAAATACTATAGAATATTAGCTGGAAATTCATGTTTTGTTCCTTTAACTTTCTTCTTAATAAATTTTGCTGATCAGAGACGGGAGGAGGAGATTTGTTCTTGGGATTAATCCCTTCCACTCCAAGATGCTACCAGAAGCTCAACACAAAAACTGGTTTGTGAACCATACGGCCTGTGGTAGGATTCAAATTTTTTTTACTTCCGGTTCTGTGGGCATGGCTTGGGCATGCTGTGGCTTGGTGGGCGTGCCTTGATGGGCATGGCAGGGGAAGGTTACTGCAAAATCCCATTCCCACCCCACTAACCTGCTTTCCAGCTCCATTCTCCTGTGCAGGGCAACAAAATAAGACCCAGCCAATCAGCTGGGACTCGGGAGGCAGAGAATAGATGGGGTCGGGACCAGTCAGAGATGGTATTTGCCGGTTCTCCAAACTACTCAAAATTTCCACTGCCTGTTCTCCAGAACTGGTGAATACCACCTCTGATACTGCCCCCCACCCTATTCAAAAATGAAGCAGCCAGGTTGCTTCACTAGACATTCCTTCCTTTTGCCTGGTGGTTTTAGTAGTTTAAAATCTACAAATGCCCTGTGCTTGCCTCAGATACTGAACCCGACAAACTCAAGCCTTGACCCAGAACATCTTGTAGAACAGACACAAGTCACCACCAGGACTTGAAAAGGCAAGATGAATCGCTATGTTTCCATGGGGAAAAATACCTTGTTGGTCCTGAGCCATTTTATACAGGCCCCGGGCATTGCTGTTTATTAGAGTCTGAAAACTGCAACACAAGACTAATATAACCAGCCTGCCAAAAAGGTATAAAAGATGACTGGTTAACATTAATTGTTCTTGGGCAATAGGTGTGTCCCAAGTCATAGCGCTGTATGTGTATGTGTGTGTGCGCACACACCTGATTCCTGCAAATTGCACGGTCAAGTCCCTGCAATTTTCTCAGTAAGATTTTCAGAAGTGATTTGCCATTGTCAGCTTCCTCCTCGGGCTGAGTGGCAGGCCCAAAAGTCACCCAGCTGACTTCATGCCCAAGGCAGGACTAGAACTTAAATTTCCTGGTTTCCATCTGGGTTCCTTTAATCCCTAATTATTGTACAACTGTTAAAGAAAGCAGAAATAAGTTTGTGTTATGAGTACAAATCCCATACGCTCGACAGCAAACCTGTTTAGCGAGTCTGGAACATTGTGCAGGCAAATTAGCCCTTGTGAATTGGAGAAATGGCTATTATCAGCCAGCGAAATGCCATTGTTTGCCAAAGCTCAAGAAACTTTTAAGAGAAAGAAAGAAAACGTGGTGCAGATGGATCCATCTCAGTAGCTGATCAATTATTGAGGGGAAAATAATGGAGTGGAACACAGTCAGCAAGGCTACACTGAATACTGTAGTGGGGAATGCAGCACCCTTGGAAAGGGTTACAACAGGACAGAGCTCTGTTAACTCACACAGCAATGAAAAACAGAGTTTAGGATGGAGTGCATCCACCCACCTTCCTATATAATGTCCTGAATTGTGCTATGCCATCCATCTGACCTGCTGCACAAAGTTCAGTGGTTACATTACAGGTATTCTTCAACTTACGACCACAATTAAGACTAATATTTCTGTTGCTAATCAAGACAGTGTTGGAAGAATTATCCTTCTGGGTTCAGTTCCAAGTGGGGGAAAAGACACTGGAAACATGGAGGCTGTTTGGAAAGAGGGTTTAATGGTGGACAGCAGGACCACATGGCTGGGAGCTCCAAAGTGAGAAAGAAAGGATGATCACATACTTCAAGGTGGGAAGGGAAGGTCCAGAAGGAAGGACCAAGATGCTGAGAGACCCTTATATAACCTCTGTTGGGCCCCACCTTAGTGTTTCCTGTTCCTGTGTAAGAAATGTATCCCATTGGCTGTCAGACTCCCAGCGGGCGGGGGTCTTAGCTAACTTTGTAGGCTTTGTCTGGACCACATGGCTTCACCTGAGTGCTGGCTGATACAACCTTCCCAGGCCAGGTGGTGAGATGGGTAGAGGCCTTTATTGTGTAGAATACTCTGGCCTAGGCCTTAATGGCCCATAGCAAAGGTGGGGGGGGGCTGAGTTTCTGCCTCTCTGAGGTGAGTTTCTGCTTCCGAGTTTCCACTCTTTTTAGGATAAATATTCTGCTTTTTTAATATTTCCTAGGATATTTCATTTTTCTAGGAGAGGGGTGGGTGCTAACCAGTGGTGGGATTCAAATATTTTTACTACCGGTTCTGTGGGTGTGGCTTGGTGAGCGTGGCAGAGGAAGGATACTGTAACATCTCCAGTCAGAGGTGGCATTTGCCCGTTCTCCGAACTATCAAAATTTCCGCTACCGGTTCTCCGGAACTGGTCAGAACCTGTTGAATACCATCTCTGGTGCTAACTTCCTACAACAGTTAAGTGAATTTTGCCCCATTTTACAACCTTTCTTGCCACGGTTGTGAGGTGAATCACTGCAGTTGTCAAGTCAATTATATGGTAGTTAAGTGGATCTGGTTTCCCCGTTGACTTGTCAGAAGGTCGCAAAAGGGGAATCACATGACCCCAGGACACTGCAACCTTATTTTTATTTATTTATTTATTTATTTATTTGATTTGTCAGTTGTTTACAAGATAATAAGTATAAGTGTATACATAGTTATGAATACATGAAATGGGTACATATAAGAAAAAGAAAAGAAACAATAGGACAGGGACGGTAGGCACGTTGATGCGATTATGCATGCCCCCTACAGACCTCTTAGGAAAGGGGTGAGGTCAATAGTAGACAGTCTAAGGTTAAAGTTTTTGGGGTTTGGGGAAGAAACTACAGAGTCAGGTAGAGTATTCCAGACATTGACCACTCGGTTGCTGAAGTCGTATTTCCTGCAATCAAGTTTGGTGCGGTTAACCTTGAGTTTGTAAATACAAGTCAGTTGCCAAGCATCTGAATTGTGACCATGTGACCAAGGGTCAGGGCAGCAATGGTAGTGTGAAAATGTGGCCATAAGTCACTTTCTTCAGTACCGTTTTGTCACTTCAAAGAATCACTAAATGAACTGTTGTAAGTTGAGGACTACCTGTATGGAAGGTTGAGTGCACAACCTACAGTAGCCAGAATCCAAAGAAATTCCCAAAGGTGGCAAGAAGGGAGAAGCCAAGCCTGGGTTTTCAAATGCTCTGGTCCAGAGGAAGGGAGAGGCCTGCAGCAGCAGTGTAAATGAACCAGCTAGCTGCTAGCAGCTGGAAGTGGACTGAGATAATGAGAAAAGGGTGTGGAGAGAAACTGTACTCAAGAGAGGAGCAAAATGAAGCTGAAGAAAGGAAATTGCAGCTGGGTTTGGAAAAATGTGGTCAGAAAAGGACTGAGGAAGCCTGTGTGGTAAGTTGGGAAATGAGAATAATGGGAAAAGGGAGAAGCTGTATAAAT